TTGACACACACTTGCTGTCTCCATAGCAAAACAGATTACTTTAACTTATGATTTAAAAAAAAAAGGGTGCATCACATTGCATAGTCATTATTAAGTCTCTAAATGATGTAATATAACATATTATTCAAATCCATCACAATAAAATTACAAGCACATGTCTGTTAATGCTGTAGTATTTTTATATTTATATATATATGTATATATATATATATATATATATATATATATATATATATATATATATATATATATATATATATATATATACATACATATATATATATATATATATATATATATATATACAGCAGCGTCGTCCACTTAAGAATTATTATATCTATATTACACAGTGAATTACCTTATATTTCTTTCTATATTCTAACGATAGGCAATATCTTCGAGTCAGTGCGAGGTAGCCAGATTAATTTTACGCCACATACAGTACTATCCAGCATGGTGGACGGTGGCTTCACTTTTTCGGGCTATCAGCAATCCAGTGAATAAATAGAGATCAGTGGGTGGCGGTAACAGAGTGCCTGGCAAAAGTATTTATCCAAATAAACTTTTTCAAATTGGTTACAAACCAACATTATTTATAGTGTTGAGGAATTAATGTAATAGAGGAACATAAACGTAGAAGGAAAAATTTTTAAAAAAATCAAATTTTTCAGAAAATTTACAGTGGAAAAAATAATAAAACTGAAAGGTGTGCCCTGCATAAGCCTCTACTTTATAGAGTTATCTTTCTCTGATGAATATAAAGAAAACCAAAGACTTGTTAATCGATTTTAGGAAAAACTGCTGCTAACATTCTTTTATTACTGTTTTATTAATTCCAATTTGTCTTTCCATCTTTCTGTCTATTGTCTTGGCTTGGAAACGCTTCTGCAAAAAATAAATATATGGCCTCAATCTACACCAATCAGTTACAGAGACTGAGCTCAAGCATCATGCAGGACCCAAGGGACAAAGAATTAGTTTTATCCCCACAACAATTGTGATATTCTCACCGCCACCAGGGGATGTTTTTATTTTTTATGCCAGAATTTAAGTCAGAATTTTGCATACAGGTCACACGTGTAATAAATACTCATACTATAGGAACAGTTTTATTTAAAATGGACAAAAACTACCTCTCAATGCACATTTTTAACAGATTCAATACAATGAGGCCCTTAATATATCACAGGCATGACAGCATTCAACCTTTCTGCGCTGGTGGCTTTTTTCCTATACACATTTAGCCTCTCTCCTCGCATGCAGACCTGTTTCTTGGTGCTTGTGCCTGTCACTACCTGAACCGTCCTGGAAGCAAGATCCGTCCTGCGCATGCGCGAACAGATATCCGGGTGTCCATTAATAATGTAATTATGGTACTAAAATTACTTATTTCTATCCTTAACTCACTAAAAAACGCTAATACACGTCTTTAAAAAAATGTTTTATGACTTTTCTGAGACAACTTTGATGCTTTTTACATTTTCTTCGTTAATTTGCTTCTCTGACATCATCATCCGACATGCTCAGAGCAGCAAAATATGATTAAACCATGTTTATCTGCATTTTAGTTGTTTCTTTGTGCAGATCAGGTAGAGACGACTGATAAAACAGAAAGGATTTTAAGGCATTTATTTTCTCAGGAAACACATTATTTACCTTTAACACATTATGGTTTAGTACGCTTACTATTCTTGGGGAGGGAAAAACGTCACTTAGGTCTTGTTAACAAAATTAAATCAAAGGCAACCCGGATGTATATCTGGATGTGCATAAGCAAATGAGCTGACGATGCATGCGCAGGACGGATCGTGCTTCGGGGACGGATCGGGTGGAGACAGTGCAAATTTTCGTCACTTTGAGGGTGTAACCAACCAAAGAAAGTAAACTGGCTCTGATTTGCTACTGTTCAGGAAATCCCATTTCTTGAGGCAGTAAAGTTTTCTTCTTTTATTGCGCTAGCAACTGTCAGTTAGCTCCCGGGAATAGTCTGGAATTTTTCGGCTTTCGATTTAAACATAAGCATTTTGAATTTTATCTTTGCTTTCATGCTAACCTTATGGTATATAGTGCGTAATCTAAAGAAAGAAATAACTAAACAAAAAAAGATAAACATGGTTTAATCATATTTTGCCGGACTATTCTGAGCATGTCCGATGATGACGTCAGACAAGCGTTAAAAGAGCATCAAATTGTCTCAGAAAAGTCATAATAAATGTTTTAAAGATTTGTATTAGCATTGCTTAGTGATTTAAGGATAGAAATAAATACTTTTAGTACCATAACTACATTATTTATGGCGACCTGGATGAATATCTGCTTGCTCATATGGTACGGACCGTGCTTTCGGTACGGATTGGGTAGTGACAGTAGCGTTAGCAAAGCATGTTCAGGATAATTGCAGGATAATTGCAGTTCTCTTGGAGTTAAAAATGTGTTAAATGAAATCATCATTGAATGACTTAGTTTGTCATCCATGAATGTGTTCTGACAGCAGTAGCCATATGCTCTGAAATTATTGTTAAAGTTAGAACTTCGTGTAAGCTAAGCTAACGTTAGCTAGCTCAATACAGACATTTACATTAAGCCTACAATTAATTTGAAACTGTAATTGTGTGTATAAAGTTATCATTTAGGTACAAAGATAGATATTGGATATGAAGTCAGAATTAAATTTTAAAGAGAACAGTGATTAGCCTGAAGATGCTTTGCTAATGTAACTAGCCAAAACCAGAAAGGAAACAATAATGTACCGAAACAAGTTAACACGGGCGCACAGAAAAAAGTCCACATACGACTAGGAGGGAATCTACAGGTGAATAAAAAACAAGTTAATACATCACAAACATGAACTTGTGCTTGATGTATTTTGGCTTCATGGTGGTAAATATGAACGTACAATATGTTCAAAGTACGCTTGAACAGTAGGCCTAGTTTATCTGTGTGTGTTTCAAATAAAATTGCTTGTATGAGTATTTATTAATGGAGCACCTTTGGTAGGACTCTGATGTCATAGTTTATAATTTTATTATTATTCTTTACTATCTGTTTTGGTAAATACTCTTTATGTATTATGCAAGCTGATTCACCTTAGGGTACAAATAGAGGCACCTTGACCCTGCAGTTAAAACATCTTCCAGATGTTTACAAGGCTTCCAGGCTAGTAGGAAACCCCAAACTTGACTTTATATGGCTTTCTAATTTTAACTCTTTAATAGGGGAATGTCTGTTAACCAATTTTTCAACATAAGCTGGAGACCGCTGCAGTTCCTCCAGAGTCAGCACGGGTCCAAAACCTTGTCTGTCACATAAATTCCCAGTAAAAAAAACAACAAAACACTGAGGTTTGTGGTTATAGTGGAATGAAATTCAGGGGTAAGAACATATTTGAAAGGAAGTCTGGTTTCACCATTTCTAAATTTGATGCTAAGTGGAAGGCAGTAATAAAAACGTCAGCAGCAAATTTAAAGGTCAGGCTTTGTTCTGTGAGCACCATCGAGCTGAAATGCTTATTTCACCCTGATGAACGCGGCAGTTAAAATTAACACCAGTAAAAACATCCTGCTATCTGTACTGAAACAACTGAAATCTAAGTAAGTGGATTTTTCTTGACATAGGTGTATTTAAGCAGGTAGTTAAGACGACTTGCCGATAAAATAGGATAAGAAAAAATATTTTATTTCAAATGCATCATAACAGGCTGCTCAGTGGGGCAGTGGGTAGCCGGTTCAATTCTGCATGGAGGTTGCATGTTCTCCCTGAGCATCTGTGGGTTTTCTCTGGGTACTCTGGCTTCCTCCCTTAGTCCAAAAACATGACTGTTAGGTTAATTGGCTTCTCTAAATTTTCCTTAGGTGTGAGTGTGTGCGTGAATAGTTGTTTGTCTCTGTGCTGGCGACCTGTCCAGGGTGTACCCCGCCTCTCGCCCATAGACTGGAGATAGGCACCAGCACCCCTTGCTACCCCAGCAGGGATTAAGCGTGTCCGAATATGGATGGATGGATGCATAATATCTGATTATCTTACTCCAGGTTCAAAAATACTAATACCTTTGGCAAATCTTTCCTTTCAACTCAAATTAAAGGCTAATACACTCATTTTAAGAAATTTGTACTTATTTTTAGAGCATTTCTTACAATGCGGTCCAGTTCCATCTGCATTTAATCCCTCAGTGTGTTGACACCAACCACAGCCAATACCAGGCTGGACCAGGAGTCATGATGCTCGATGTAAATTAAATGGCCCGTCCTTTGAGTGCACAGGCTTACATAAGCGGCTGCTGCTCCTCTTTCTTCTTTTCTCCCAGCCTCTGTGAGGACCCATGTTTAAATCAGTGAAGGATGAAGATCCTGGCTCCTGCATCCCTCATTTTCTATGCCACCTTGAAAAACACCCTGGTCCAGGTTTTAGCATCTCTTTCCCATCTTTGTCAGTGGCTGATCATCCGGTTTAGCATGCTGAGGTCTGATGATGTGAGAATATGATTCATATGCTCTTTCTTTGTTATTTCTGCATCTTTCATTCTCAACCCCCCCACATCCCCTCCACCTTGTCCCTCATCTCTTCAGTCCTGCAGCCCTTCTTAGGGATGTCATAACACAGTTTTTAAGACAATCGGCTTGGAGGGCGCACAATGGAGGGAGACAGGATGGATGACAGTGTGTGTGTGTGTGTCTGCAGGGGGAGATGATGAAGGAGGAGGTGCAGGGGGGGAGAAGAAGAGGAGAGGAGGGCAGGCCTGGGATGAAATGCGACAAAGGTTGTGAGCTGCTTTAAAATGCCCGATTGTGAATTTTGGGTCTGATTTGTCTGTAATTTATTAAAACATGTTTTTTAAAGGTGATGGCAGAAACACAAAGGACATGAGGCAGAGGGGTTTGGGTGGGGGCATATGCCCTACATTGTCTCTGGATGGATGAGGAGCCTGTAAGATCACATGCGTGCCGATACAGAGGAACCGTGGTGCACAGAGCAATCATCGGACACAGAAACACAGAGCTTACCTCCACGTTTCAGTCCAGCTCGACCCTGCCTGCTTTCATCCTGTTCCTCTCTGTCGGCTCCCTCCGCTTCTCTCCCCATGACAGCATTTTTCTGCTATCTGTCTCCACGGTGAGAGAGAGTCTGTCCTGCCGACGCTGCTTCCTTCCCTCTGGCTCTGTTCGCTTCCTCTTAACCGAAAAGAGAAACAGAGAAGAAAAAACACGATATGAAGCTCAGTCTCTGCGCCTATAGGCGAACTCCCCGGTGCTGTTTGCTGAAGTCAAGAAGAGGCAGGTTGATTTGTGCCTCCCTCCCTCCCTCCGTCTCTACTCCCCCCATGAATCTCTTCCATTCACATCGCAGTAAACCCTCCCCTCTCTTGCTCCCTCCCTGTTTCTCCCTCCTCCTCCCTGTCTCCTTGTCAGAGAGGTTAAGACAGAGACGGACAGACCCAGGGGCGGAGCCAGATGGGGGGCCAGGGGTGGCCATGGCCAAGGCTGATTTATACTTCGAAACTTGGGCGAGAAACTTGGACGAGAACGCGGTGTTAGCAAGAACACAGGAAAGTCTGGACTTGGCGAGAACACGAGCATGCAGCATTAATATGGGTCAATGTTACTTCTTCAATAACTCAATATATATGTGCAGTGCAATATATATGTATATATATATATACTTTTACCCTGTATATAGCTAGCTCTTACTCATAGAAAACATATTTTTTGTGCAGGAATAAGGTCTTGGCTCTGTTACACTGGTAGCCAAGTAGGCCTAATCGACATTTCGTTGTCAAGATTCCCTTTTTTTTTTGTGCAATGACAATAAAGGAAGTCTAAATCTAATTGGAACAGAAGCGTACTTGTGACATCGCCACAGGCTCAGCTCGTCTAGAGCTGCATTTCACTAGCCTGGTTGCCATTCCGAACTTAGTCCCGCCCACAACGTTTGAGGTCGGGAAGTTCGGTCTGGCATTGCTCAACAGTAGCGCGAGTATGCTAGCACAATATCTGGCGGGCCAATCAAATTGTCAGGGCGGGCTTTATACGATGATGGACAGATGATCAACAGTAACGTAATCAACCACGTGACCAAAGCGCGCTTGAGTGACAACAACAATGGCTGCCGCTGGAGAGTTGGGGTGAGTAGATTCTGCTATTAGGTCTGTTCTAGAAGATATCAACAGCAAATTAATTTTAAAAGAGGAACAGAGAAACGCGATCAAGGCTCATCTTCTTATTCTAGGCGTGCAACTGCACGCTAAGATTTTTGTTGACAACATCTATGCATCGCTTAACATACGTCACGCACTCCGTTGCTCTTATTGGTTGTAGATCTATCCAATTGAGTGCAGAGGCATTTTTTTCCTGGTTCGTTCAAAACACGCCCCATAATCACAGCTCTATGGAGCAGTATCAGACTCATATTCTGACTAGAATTGAGTAGGACTACGTCAGGCTAGCATTTCACCTCATGTTATTAATAGTCTCTATGTAATAATAAATTGTGACTTTTTTTCATCTAATGGGGGAATAATAGGGCTGCTCATTGGCGCAGTGGGTAGCGCTGCTGCTGTAACAGCTGTAATTGTGTACTGTCCCTTTAAGATAGTGTGGTATTGCTACGCACCACTGCTTCTCTGTAGAGAGCAGGAAAGCTAATGCAGAGAGATACACGTACTCAGACGGACGTATTATTTTCATCTTATTCTTCTTTGTAATGTTAGGAGTTGCCTGGACTCTGCTCATTTGTCATGTGTGATAATATAGCAGTCGTTCAACCGGGCCTTGTATGGTTGGTGAAGAGCGGGTTCTATTAAAGTACGACACTGAGGAACTCCCAGTACCAGTGTGGCCGTGAGTTTTTGACCGCCCTCTCCTGCCTTAAACGCAACCCTAAGCGTTACACTGCCTTGTAGCAAGAAGGTTCTGGGTTCGATTCCCGGGGTCTTTCTGCATGGAGGTTGCATGTTCTCCCTGAGCATCTGTGGGTTCTCTCCGGGTACTCCGGCTTCCTCCCACAGTCCAAAAACATGATTGTTAGGTTAATTGGCTTCTCTAAAAGTCCCCTTAGGTGTGAGTGTATGCGTGAACGGTTGTTTGTCCTGTTTGTCTCTATGTTGCCCTGCAATGGACTGGCGACCTGTTCAGGATATACCCCGCCTCTCGCCCATTGACAGCTGGAGACCAGCACCCCTCACAACCCCACTTGGGATTAAGCGTGTATGAAAATGGATGGATGGATGGATGGATGGATGGATGGATGGATGGATGGATGGATGGATGTATGGATGGATGGATGGATGGATGGATGGATGAGGGAATTATAATGCAGACTGTCAGATAAACACAAATCAAATGAACATTTTGCCAAAAAAAAAAAAAAAAAATGCCATCAGAGCCAGCAGTCCTTCACACAAGGCTATGTCAAGAGAGGACCGCTGCAGACGGGCTGCGGTTAGCCCTGGCTGCCGTTACCCTCGTTGGTCCGCTGGTTACCGCGGTCCTCACAACTTCGGAAATCTATTTTTAATTACGCATTAAATCAGTAAATGGACCATGTAGTGACACTCTAAAGTAGGTTCTGGTGGAGGTTCTGGTGCCTATCCGCTTTTGAATCCCCCCCCCCTCAGTATACATTGGTTATTGCCTGGCCACCCTTATAAAAATGTTCTGGCTACGCCTCTGGTCAGACCATTGCAGAGGGGAGCTGACACAGACTTGCAAAATGGTCAATTTAAACATTTGCAGAAGCCTCTTAAAAAAACAAAACAAGAAGACGAAAAGCAGATGGAATGATGATGGAATCTGTTGAAATAGCTACTAATAAGTTATTTAGCATAAATCCAAGTCAGAACATTATTAGGGACACTTTACTGTTGGGATTTCTTTCCGTTAAGACATCCTTGCTGCAACATAAATCAGAGCTAGGTGATATAGAATGTACTTCCTCTGCAGGAACTTTTACAAACAAAAATTGGTATGAGAGTCCAGCAGATCAGCCGGATTTCATAAATATCACAGAGAGTAAAGCGACTTGTAAGGTTTCAAAAATGACAAACCAAAAAAAGTAAATTCTGAATGGTGTAAAGATGTTTCAATGACTTATTTCCCTTCTTATGGATCTATTCGGTTTCTTATTCAATTTTAATGAAATTATTCAGATATAAAACAAATCTTGGTTCCAAACAACCTGATTAAACAGGAACTGCAGTCAGATTCAGAATTTTATGTATTTGGCACATTTCTTGCAAACACATGATAATGTGACTTTGATTGTTCTAAAAGCTGCTCTCAATGGACAGACATTTTGAGTATGAATATCTAAAGTTTGGGGTAAAATCAATTGCAATTCCAATTACAATTAATTAGGGGTGTGACAAAAAATGTATTTGGCAATATATTGTGATTTTCAGCTGTCTGATGTTATATCGATCTTTCAGTTATAGATCTTAAAAAAAACATCCTTACCTACAAAAATGAGCAAAAATTGGCTACCTCTGGAGCCCTTTTGTTTTGCGGCACCATTTCTGTAGTTTAGGCAGTCACAGTGGAAGATGTGGACTGACTCAAACCCCAAAAAGCATGGATACCAAATAAATAAATGATCAATATCATCTGATTAACATTTACAGCACTTGCTTTATTATCTATACATTTAATATTGATAGCCAGATAAAATATTGAAACATATGGTGATATTGCAATATTATAAAAATGATATATATATTTTTTTACACCATCAGACCTGATTAGAAACACCTTAAAGGAGCATTGCACAAGTTAAGAGGTTAAGTATCGTCTCTCCCATACATGCTTGGCTCCATTAGTTACGGTAGTTTGTCTGAGGGATTTTGGCACTTCTATTGATGCATTAGTGAGAGTTAATGGGTGACTCTTTTTGATGGATGGATTACAAAACACCAGCAACAAGTGCACCTCAGACCGATAAATAGGAGTCTGATCAGCAACTTGGGAATTGTTTTTTTATGGACAAAGCTAAATCAGATCTGTCCTGGAAATGAAAAGTGACCGGCCATTGGTCCCATTTTCACTGAGGTAAGAGGCTGAGACAAAATCCTAAATAACTCTTACTTCAGGAGATGTTACGCCTATAAAAACATAAACCTGAGCAGTAGCAGCGACAGACTGCTGAGCTTTTTCTCATTGCCAAAAAGTCTTTCTTTTCTTCGCCTATGAAGTAGGCGAAGAAAATAAAAAAAATTGGAAAAAGCAACTCATATTTGATGTCCTGCAAACTATTATCAAGAATACATTTTTAAGGCTTTGGGATTTCAGCGAACCGCCGAATGATCCATAAAGAACCAGCAGGCATCATTTACCTCAGTTAAGGTCAGAGTTCACGATTCAAGCAAATGAAAAAGGAAAAATGTAGCCCATGAGAGTGCACTCGAAAAACAATCTAGAAATAGGTAAAGATTTCTTAAATTAAGTGTATTCACCCTTAATTTGAGTAGGTAGATGAAATAGTTCGTAGATGCAATGAGTATTTTTACTCTTAAAATAAGATAGTTAGATAATTGGCACTTGAAATAAGACAATTCAATTGTGTTTTCTTATTTTAAGTGTAAATTGTCTTGTTCCATTGGCAAACCTCCTCAATCCAAGAACAAATACACTTATTTTAAGAAAAAATGACTTTTTTCAAGCTTTTAACACTTTAAAACAAAACAAAAAACCACAACAATCCAACTTTAGCACCTCCAGGAGCTTACTGGTTAAATATCAGCAGTCAAAGACGATGGTGGTGGTGTGTTTTCATTACTAGGGAGATTAACAAAAATCTGAAACTGCATTTTCAACCAGTGAATCCAGATTTCCCTTCAATTAGTTTAAAGTTTTATCTTTGTTTAATTTGAAAACTGGCTTGACGATTTGAAAATAAGAAGTATGACCCCCAAAAGGAATCTGTAAATGGGAAAAGGTTTAACAACCCTTTTCTAAAATGAGTTGGATTCATTTTACAGAAAGGTCTGACAAGCAGCTTTAAAATCTCCTAATTGAACAAAAAAAAGATCCTTTCTGCTTGTGACAGATAAAGACACCAAAGCTCGAAAGGTCAAAGGTGAAAATGGGAGCGTGTGCATCTGAGTGACGATGTGTTTATTTATAAAGACCTTTGTGAACTCCCTAAACCTAAAGCTAGCGCGGATGGAGATCATCACAACATTGAACCTACTTAGGAGCAATGAGATTATAGGAGTTTAACCCAGTTTTTTTTTCCATCCTCATCACAGCAAACAGGACATCTAAAGAACCAACATACCTGCAAATTTGAGCAGAGCACTGACTGATGCTCAAGGAGAGAGGAGAGGATGAGTCACTCTGCTTAACCTCAGTGCAGTGTCCAGCACCATCCCCCTAATTACAGCGTAGAGGTTTGCCCCGGCTGTAACATATGGCTGCGTGTGTTACGAGGTCAGCAGCTCCAGCCTGAGGTTGGGGGGGGGCAGGGAGGCCTAATGTGTTGGTGGAGTGTGTCTTTAGGAGATAAGAAAATTAAAAACAGAGGCCAGAGATGATAGTTAAACCGTTTCTCACAAACAAGCGCACCTCTAAGTTAGTCCCCCTACTAATTATTAAGTGTTTAGTGTTTAATTAAGTGTTAAAACACTTAATTACCGGTAAGTGTTTTAACCTGAGATTTAAAATAAAAAACAATAAAAAGTTTTTGCAACCTGTAACAAATTTTTTTCCTGTATAAATTGTTATCTGACTCACCTCCTATTTAGGAAATTCAAACCAATATTACTCAGGTTCTGACTGGTTCACATATCTGATTTTAACCTAATCCACCTGATCACTTCCAGATAAACACACTAGAAAAAAATCTGCTTTCAAACTTCCAGGATCTGGACCTAAAAAATGAAATAAAAATCCTGTTTACAGGAAGTTTCCACAACAACATTCAATATTACAGTGACACCATGTGGACATAAGCTCCTCTAAATAAACAGGAGCACATGCTTGTTAAGAAGCATGTAAATGTCAATATCATTGCTCTATTAAAAAGAGAAGCTCATTATATCATTATACACGTATTTAAATCTAATAATTTTGATGGTTAAGGTTTACTGCTAATTAAAGCTATCTTCTCTTTTCCAGAAACTCAATTTATTGCGTAAAATCAGGTTTAAAATATGTCTGCCGGTTTAAAAGTACCAAATGATTTACATTTTATGTAACTTATACTTGGCTGGGGCTTGTTCTTAATTAGGATTTTTTCCGTGTTGCTTTAAAGTCCTTCTGGAAAAAAAGGAAATAAGCACCTTTGTAAATTAAAAATGGAAGTGCTCTAAGATGCTCTGATTCCAAACACTGACTTAAGATCTAGTGAAACACAGCAGACCAGATGCAGCTGAGCCCTCAAATAGAATCTCACATCATTCACATCATTAAGCTCCTCCTCCGCTCTCTGGGAAACTGTTTTTTTTAAATAATTGAATTTTATTCATATCACATTGGAGAAATTCACTCTTTGCATTGAACTTATCCTCTTGGGGAGCAGTGTGGGGTCGAAGCGTGCAGGCTGTGGGGATTGAACTGGGTACCTTGCACCCTTCTCAGAGCATAAGCAAACTGATCTAACCCTAAGGCCAACACTCCCCTCCCATTGATTTTTTTCCAGATCAATATTTAATATAATAGTTATAACCTGGATACACACTGGTTGTGACTCGCAGTCTATGCATGCAGATCTAACCCAAACTTGCTTTACAATCCTCTCAAGGTAACAGTTAAGCCTGTTGCTTATGCATTTTTTCCTTCCACTAAACATTCCATCAATTCCTGTGAATGCAGCACTCTGAGGACACCAGCTTTGTCAGCCATAACCGCCTGACGACTATCAAATCTGCATTCTTCTCCTCCTGAGTAAGCCAAAACAATATTTCTATGTTTATTTTATTGGTCTTGTGGTAAATGTCAAAATTTCCAAGAAGAAATTTTTTTCTTTTTATGATGTAAACCAGGGCTGCCAACTTTTAATCAAACATTGGGGTGAGAGTTTGAAATAGTTTGGACAGGAAACCCTGTCAGGGTTAGATGAGGATGGGTGCAGCTATAGGTTGGAGGTTTGCAGAGGATTTAACTGGAACAAAGCGGCAAAATGTGAAATATTTATAGCACAGTAAATGTTACTGAGTAACAATAAGTGGTCTGTAGTTATGTGGAACATTTTTCTCACAATATACATTATTTTCTACATTCTGCTGATTTTTAGAGAATTGAAGTAAAGCAGAATGGGCCCTACTAAAAAAATACGTGCATCTTAAATATACTTTAGACTAAGAATTTCAAAACTTTGTTCATTAATTATTCTCTGCAGTTTAAGTAAATTAAACAATGGGGAACTAATAAGTTATTACTGGATTACTGGCACTAATACAGGAACCAGTGCAATCAAAATATATGCAAACTACACTGTGTGTGAATATTTGGTAATAGGCTAAGGATTAAAAAGCTTCATTTATTATATTATTAGTTTTTCTTACAATTGACAAAACGGCTAAACGATTTAGACCTTCTAGGAGGCTGTAGATTTGATAAAAACTCACCATGACAGGAGATAGCTCTTCTCTTGATGTTTCATTTGGAAGGTGTGATGGAAAATAAGTTCTTAAACATATTCAGTGGACCAAAATAAAGATGAATGAATGAGATAAGTAATAATAAAAGAACAACATCCCTGTGGTTTCTCCGCTATGAATCCTGTATAACTGAGCTGTTCTGCACATCCTCTCTGGATGTGGTTGTTCTTTTTTTGGGTGGCTGATCTTTTGAAAAATAAAATGCAATGGTTCTTTTTCTTTTTGTGGAGCTTCTATGGGTTTGAGAGACAAACCTGAAAGCTTTAAGAATTAAAATATTTGTGTTGGTTTAATTACTACTAAATTCCAATGTGGGATTATTAAACTAGACCGAGGAATAATCATTTAACTTGTGAGCAAAACATGGGACTAAAACTGGGACTAAAAAAAAGCGCCAGGTAAAGAGAAAACAAACCATTGGATGTGATCCTACTCTGTCTCCACATTGGTCATTTAGGCTAACAGCTGTTTGCACATTTTTATTCATATTTACTCAAATACAAGATTGCTTAAAATCTTCAATAATTTACAAAGATAATTATTCTGTTAGCACTAAGGTAGTATTAAAACACGGACTGGATTTGATCATAAATAAGTGGAACGGAGTTGAGTGTTAATGACTCATTTTTTAGTGTGAGAAATTGACATTGAGATGGGCGAGTCTCACTCCTAATGAGAGTTGACAGCCTTCAAAATCAACAATTAAAAAGTTGAGTGTAAATCACTGTAAAATAAATTTGCATACATTTTCTTTAACAAATGAATAATAAAACTAGCTACTTGAAGATATTCCTGTTAGTTGAGATGTTTGCCCTGCCAGATAAGGCAAAGGTTGACTGTTAAAATCTCAAATCATCGCACATTTCAAGGAAAAGCACCGCCTTTCTTCTGTTAAACATATGTAGAAGGTTTGGTTCATTTGTTTTATCCTCTTCATTTGTCCGTTTGTCCAACAGGGATGAAAACACAGCCGTAGTTCTTCGCCTTTAGGTGAAAAACGCAAACTCTGCAGAAACTACAGCATGGATTAATTCTAAATCCACAAAACACACAATATGAAGACACTTGAATTGAAGACTTTTTTTTTTTTATAAATTCAAAAACTTTTCATATCAAATGCTCAAATGACACTGAAAGTATACTAAGTAATTTGAACAGGACAAATTCACCCATTAAACACATGTAAACATAAAACAATATCACTTAATTCTTTCACGTTGTGCAGCCTGTTATTTAAAGTTATAAATAACTGTACAATAACTTTTCTTTCCTCCAACAGTTCAGCATGGCTTCTGTGTTTAGTATTCACAGACTCTAGGAACATGATTAACTATTTTGAGACAGGATGTGAATAAAATTATATATATATAAAAAAAGATTTTTATCAGCACACAGCAGCATTTTTACTTCTGCCTATTTAAAAATAGGGTAATAAAAAACAGAACTAGGTCTGAGAAAACCTGAATACTCATGTTGGTTTATACAATTATATACAAAGAAGGTGTGAAGGTAAAATGTCAAACTGTTATATTTACAAGAGGAATATTTATAGACTGGTACTAAAAACAACAATAAAGTAATGACCTTAATGATTCAGGCACTCAGGAGGGTCAAACTCCAGACGGGAATTTAAAACGGGCAATTATTTTATACTTTTAAACGGCAACGATGGACATTTCAGTGACATGTGTATCCCCCAAAACAAAATTATTACACTTTCCCAGTTTAAACTGTTTAGTAGAAACAAATTTTACCTAAAACAAAATGGTAATCAATATTTAAGTGGAGCACAGCTATGGAATTATTTAATGAACACAAACATGGTTGATTATTCATAAACTGTATATAAATACAGACATTTTTTTAATGAAGTGTTTGCAGGATAAATAACTTGGTAGTTATTTAGCACTTAAAATATGGATAAAATGCAGACAAAAAGATCAAATAATCCCAATTTCAAGTTTTTGCCAACAGAATAAATATTTCACCTTTGTCCTAAAATGATAAATCTCACCATTGGTATGGAGTGAATTTTGTTCCTTTTTTTTGTTGCAAGATTCTTTTTTAACAAATTACTTTTTTTTTTCTTCTAATTTCTCTTTCAGACTTGAGTTTTATTAACTGCATTCTTTTCTAATAGCATTTTACAGATCTGTCTCTTCACTTAATGGGGCAGGCCTTCCTCTGGAGTGAGGGGCTAAGTCACATTTTTATTCAGCATGAAGTTTGCACCATTTTTATTGGTCTGTGTGCAAATCAAGAGCGAGCATTGGTACTGGGCTTAAAGTGTGATTGTGATTGGAATTTTAAAAGAATGCAATTCGTAAAACTCCACACGAAAAAGAGAAGTTAGGAGGAAAAATAATAGAAGATATAAGATCAGTTAAAATTATTTTTTTGGAAAAAAACAAAACAAAAAACAAAACATACAGTTTGAAAAAATGAAATTTGAAAGAAAAAGTCTGAGAAAACAGCAAAACATTTCTAAAAAAACAAGTTTTTGATTTAGATGTTTTCCCCAGTTGCATTTCTGGTTTGCATTTTGTTTTTTATTTCCATTTTCTTCACAACAACAGAAGATCTTTCACTTCATATCACAGGAGGGCTGGAATGTCTGCCAGGCTGAGTTTTAATTTTAGACCAAGTGACTTGAGTCACTGTAAATGCACCACTTCGGTGATCAACAGGAGTCTATCCAGAGTGGAGAGTATGGTAACTGTTCTTATAATTCTGTAAATTACAAATCAATAAAACAATAAGCAATGAGTGAGGTGGACCAAAGCTCAGACGCCTCAAGTTAAGTCCATGTTCACTGTTTGTCTGAAGAGAAGTCCAAGAGTGAAGAAGTTGATCCGGTCCAACACACCAGCTCTGCTGTCCAGGTTGGAGGATCCAGCAGATTTTTACCACTTCCCCCTTTTACTCCAGTCCTTCGGAGTGAAGTGAAGACATTTAGGATCTATGCGCAGGTGCCTCTTCTGCATGGCTTTCTCATGTCCATCCACAATGTCCTCAGAAAGAGTGAGGATGTACTGACCCTGGAGAGGAGAACCAATTATTCTACCTGTTTACATAACAGTGCATTTATACAGCATAGCCCTGCGATACATTAAGCCATTGGCCTTCATTTTCCATTTCTATTTAAGAGGAACAGAAACTTCCAACACAAGGTGTGAACTACATTGGTTACACCTGACAATTTTAGAATGAATCCTGTAGGTTGCATTTGTGTTCTGTCTCCATGACTCAGATCTTTCTTCCCTGCAATCTGATAGAAGTTTTCTACCAATCCTTTAAACAGCTTTTACCCGCCAAGAAAGTCTTTTGCTCGCTCTTCTCTCCAGCTTGGACAACAGCTATTTAAGAGCAGAAATGTTGCTCTCTTGTCACAAAATCTCTATTGGATTGAGGTCTTGATTTTGACTAGGCCATATGAATATGCTTTGATCTCTTCCAGTGCAGCTCAGGCCACAGTGGTGTCAGGTGCAGGGGTTTGCCCCTCAATCAGAGGATTGTCGGTTTAAGCTTTCAGTGTCGTTGTGTCCTTGGGCAAGACACTTCACTGCCTACTGATGGTGGTCAGAGGGCCCGGTGGTTCCAGTGTGCAGCAGCCTCGCCTCTGTCAGTGAGCCCCACGGCAGCTGTGGCTACAAAGTAGTTTGCCACCATCAGTGGCTGCGTGAATGACTGAATGTAGTGTAAAGCGCTTTGGTCAAGTCTCCTGACTTGAAAAAGCGCTATATAAGTACAGGCCATTTACCATTCATGCACTTTGCCCTGTTGGAAGGTCCTTGTAGGTTTTCTTAAAGACACTATCTAGTTTTCTCCCTCTTGTCACCCACAGCCATTTTTAAATATTTCTGTTTTGGGATGCATCTAAATAAATAATCTCGGCCAAAACAAAAAATTTTTAAAACCATGGCTAAAACCGAAAGAAGTTATGTTAAATATAAAAATCCTAGCATAAGGCGAGTGTTGGCCTTGTGGGTTAGAGCAGTGCTCCTGTGCTCTGAGAAGGTTGCAAGTACCCTGTTCGGCCCCAGAGCCTCCACTCTCGGTTCCTATGCAAAACCCTTATCCCCACTGCTCCCCAAGGAGATGGGTTAAAATCCAGAGAAGGAATTTCCCCATTGTGGGACAAGAAAGAGATTTACATTACATTTTTGGCTACGATGTGTACTAACTATTAAAAAAAGCATTATTTTTTAACTATTAAATAACAAAATATTTATTTACCACTGACATTTTTTGGCCCTTTACCTCAGTAGTACTAGGAAATGTTCTTGCCTTTTCAAAAATGTTTTCGTGTTGCATTCTTCGTGGCCTTTTAATGTCACAGACCCGAGCTCGTAGTGAGACCAATGTGCAACGTTTAAACTCGCTGCCTCTCTCTCAAAACCTGTCTGCCGGGCAATCAACTCTGATAAACCCTGCTCCTCTACCCACGCTCTCTTGATTCAGTCCTTTTCTTTATGCACTCAACAAGGTTTCTGAATGCTGGCTGTACCCTTTACTTGTGATCCTCTTTCCCCTCTACTGGATGCGCCACTTGTCGATTCATTCGTCTCGTTTCGGTATTAAATTTATCGGCTAAAACCCGGAAATATAGTTTTCGGCTGAACACTTTTAGCGGACCAATCTTCAGTGCAACCAGCTTCTGTAACTTCAACAAAACATCCACACCACTGACATTTGCATTTTTGCATCTCTCTTGTGGCAGTCATGAATGACGCTGCAGCCAACATCCTCCTCATTTTGTTACACTAACAGCCTTTTACATATCAGTGAGTTACATTGGTGGAAAGGCTGCTGCCAGATGTTTAGTTGTTGAGCTAATATTGTCCGATTTACTACAAAAAGAGTGTTTAAAAAGTAGCACACAGGCTAAGCTAATCTAGCTAAAAACCTCCCATCAGGCTCTAAATCTGAGTGTAGTGATGGACTCAGACCTGAACCTTCAGAGGCTCATAAAGACAGGAACAAAGTCGGCCTTCCATCACCTGAAGAACATCTCCGGGATTAAAGGACTAATGTCTCAGCTGGACCTTGAAAAACTAATGTCTGTGTATTCACCTTTAGTAGAATTGATCAGAGATTTTACTGCTTTAATACATTTTTTTGAGTACAAATCATCTTGGGGGTGCAAATAAAAAACAAAACAATTGTTCATACAAGAGATATACAGTAAAGATGTTGGTTTAGTTAGGATTTCATAGAAGCCAATGAGACGATTTGTAAACAACAGTAAACTAGCATCATTTGTGATTCATTAGATTTATGATAAGTTCTGAACTCTCACCTTGTAATAGTTGATTAGATTGAGGTACTGGAGTGTAGAAATGACGTCTTCCTTCTTTATACTCGTTATTTCACTGATCTCACTGTTTTCAGAAAACATTAATAAAGAAGAAAAGTTAAGATTGCTTTTCTGAATAAAACTCATCTAACAATGTAAAAAAAAAAAAAAATAATAATAATAATAAACAGCTTTGTACTTTATAGTTATCTGAGGCCTTTCTCCATTTTCAGGTTTAAGGTCCATGAGAATTTCTAGGATTGTTTGGGACCAGTAGGAGCGATAAGACAAGAGACCAAGATCAGAAAGCGGCTTCTCTGGTGTTCCCGTTTTCCCCTCCACCTTTGACAACTCGTAACCTGGTAAAACCGGAAAAAAAATAAGGATTTATAACATAGAAGCAAAAGTAAGTACACCGAAATGTTTTCCAATCACAGCAGCTTTGACTTACTGAACTCGATGAGCAGTTTCCCGTAGCCTCTGCGCTGATAGGGAGGCAATGTCAGGATGCAGGCGACATTATAATCTTCTGTTGACTCTTTCTCCTGAAAATTAGGACAAAATTAAAGCTCGCCTTTAGCAACTGATAGTCTGATTAGGCACTTGTGTCAAAAAAGTGACCAGATCAGGTCTGGTCAAAATAAACTGTCCTTCCATTATTTGTGTTGATTACTTTTTTTTCTATTAGATTGAAATAAAAAAACTTAAAAACTATTTCTTTAATTTCTTTTTGACACTGCAAAAGAAACTGTCCAACAGATTCAGTTCTAAAACAAAAAATAGTCACTAGTTCTTTGTTTCCCAATTCCTGATTTCAATGACAAAAAGACAAAAATGAAATTAACAAAGGGAATTAATGCATTAATTATGGGTTTTGTCCTCGTTATAAATGATGCGACTGCAATTTCAAGGTGCCACCAAATAAGCTGATATTTCAGCGGGTTTCATCGCTTTCAAAACATTCTGTGACTAAATTCACAAAAACATTTAAAGCTGCCATTGAAAGTAAAAACCTAATAAGCCAGATTAATAATGTGTAACACCCAGGTTTAATCCTCTGATTTGCTCTGTACGGAGAAAGGAGGGACGCTCAGCAGAACCTTCCGAGCTGATTGGACAAAGCGACATCTTGTTTGGTTTTAGCCAATAATGACAACAAATGACATAGCAGCCAAAACCACAAGAAACCGCAAAAGCTTTCGCGCTTTTCTTCTTTCATATAAACATGAATTCTGACAAACAGCTGCAATAGCAGCAGCTACACATACATCTTCCTGCACCACCATGTTTGCTTAGGTTCGGCTGTGGGCTCAGTAGCTTTTGTTTTTATCACAGCTATATGTGGCGCCCTAAACCATAAATCTGTTTTGGGTTTGTAGCAGGACAAAATAGATTATAGTGTGTTTGTGAACACAGAAATAATGTGAGAGCTGTGATGCCACTTACCCGATCTCACCCATCAGCTCATTTTTGTTTGAGGAAACAGAAATTCATCCGGTACGCATTTAAATAAGCACCTATTTATCTTTAATTATAACAATATACTAAATTACATTGCATAGAATGTTAATAACCACTTAATAAATAAATAAGTGCACGTTCTGTTATATCAATTGTCTGACAAGGTCATCATCAGACATGTACAGAGCAGTCTGTACATCTGCCGAATATCTTTCCTCAGCAAAGTTATTAACTTTTACAAAATGCAGTTTGGTACCCTTTTTTTGTACGATGATGAAAAGAGCAGTTTTAAGTGAGAAAATGTAAAAAGCCTCAAAATTGTCTAAGACAAGCCATGAAACAGTATTTAAAGATGTGTATCAGCATTCCTTAATAGGTTAAGGATAGAAATAAGTAATTTTAGTACCATAGTTACATTATTTATGGAAACCCGGATGTGCTTCTGGGACAGATCGGTTAGTGACAGTGGCAATGTTTCTGTCTTCTTTTTTGGTGTTCGCTTACTGTTCTTGACCCATAAATATACTTGCAGGTCACCTTAGAACCAAAAACAATTTTTACGTTCACTATCCAGTTTCTCCATTTTCAATTTAGTTCAGAAAAGAGAATTGCTCTCCATTTTATTTCTTTTATCAAACTACTTTTTATAAAAAAAAACACTAAAAAGAAACAGGACTTCTCTTACCCCCTCTTTTGCAAGTTTAAAATGTAATAAAAAGGCAAAGGAAATTCATCCAAACAGATGTCTTAGTTTATCCCTCATTTTTTTTTTATACCTTAGAGAAGTAACCGACTATATGGAAGCCCTTGGAATCATACTCCGTCATGACATAAAACAGGAAGGGGTCTGTGTCGTAATACAATGTTTTGTGGTCCAGGAAACATTTTGCCAGTAAACACAGGTTCTGGGAGTAGTTCTGAAAAAGTGGAAAAGATAAATTATGAAACAAACCTTAAAAAAAACAACAATAATAAAGTCAACAGAAGAGCAACAATATAACTCCGTTACTTTGTTTTTCCTGCCGTCAATCTCGAAGAATGAGATGGTGCCTTTGCGGTAGATCTCATTACCAGGAGGATGTCTTAAATTACATTTAGTCTGGAAAGAAGAAAAAAGAATAACCTGAAATGTAGTTAAACTGGATTCAGACCGGTAGTAAGTCACAGGACCTGCAGTTTGGCTACAACTAATAAATTAAATAATAGCTTTGCAACATCCTTGGTTAAAAGCAGTTTTTGCCCCCCCTTAACCTGCACTAATTCTTGAAAAGCTAACAGTAATAAAAGTCAAAACTAAATCAGATTTGATGGAGAGAAATTTTCAAATTGTGGGAAACATTCTCCTTTAGATTGAAGTCTTGACCATAACCGTTTTTCTCACAGATTGATTAGCTGCTGTTGGTTTTCTTCCAGGGGTGTTCCCTGTTTAACTCGACCAAATCCAAGGGTAATCATCCACTGTATGTTTAATTCGTCCTAATTTATCTTGACTTAGTGAGCAGCGTCCAATGGCAACACAATTTAGGACGTCCCAAAGAGATTCTTACCAAATGCCTCTGGAGACACTTGAGGCTTTTGAGGTATTTGAGGCAGAATTCACAGAGGTAGAGGATGGGTAACGTGGTAAGCTCTTGTGGGTAGGGGGAGAAGTACCAGGGCTTCAGTCTGTGCCGACCCAGCTCTATGCACTCGATGTTTTTCATCCGCGTGACAATGTCGTCGTGGCTCCGATCAGACACCAGACTGCCAGTCATCCGAGGAGCACTTGGGATGCCATCTGAACTATCCTGAGAATCCTGACAGGAAGAATTAAAAACAAAATTTAATAGAAGAAATTAACCTGCAGAGAGTACTTCGTAAAACTAAAAGATTCAATAAAAAAAAAAAATCAATTCTCAATCAAAAACCAGATTTGGATTATTAGTTTTCTTTTGATCAATATGAGCAATCACCATGATGTTTATTTTGTCAGAAGCACTAAACTAGGGTCAGAGGTAAGCTCCTCCTCCGTGTTATTGGACCCACTATGGCACAGCTCAATTTGGACACCGACACACAATCAACGGGCAATAATAGGAAATCCAACAGACCTCTGGTGGTGGTAGAAAGACACTGGCACTTTGAGGCTTGTTATACTGCAAAACCTTTATCATCTAGCAGAGAGAGACACAAAAACAGGGGCTTTTGGAAACTAATTAGGGGAATGAAATTATTCATTTCACACTGAAAACTTTAGTTATAGGGACACAGTGGGAGCATTCCTCAAAGACAAACACTTTCAATGTGAGCTCAGAGTTAGTCTGACTGGCTGGCTTGAATAACTGGAGATCTGAGACAATTGGTAAAGAAGGCTGAGAATGAAAAGGTTTATTTTATAATGAATGCATAGCCATTTCCTTTAATGCTGCTATCCAACAGAGCACCAAATACTGGGAAGCTGCTTAGATGGAAATGGCTTTTAGGTGGAAAACTTTGACTTCAATGATTCAACATGGTTTTGTTACCTTTTTTCTGGTCAATAATATATTATAAAAGTCAACAAACAAACTGTGTACTCTGATAAAGTAAGTTCAATTCCAAAAAAAAAATTTAAAGCTCAAAGACATTAACTTTTCAGTACCAAGAAAATTTTTTATAAAAGCACAAATGATCATATGTGCAGGTCAACACCTTTTAGATATAAAAGTTAATATTCGTTTGATCTTAGTTTATATTTGTATTAACCTTTGGGTAGGAGTCCATAAACATGAAATATTTTATTTTATAACCAGAATATCATAGATGAATAAAAAAAAAGAGACTAAATACAGAAAAGTTAAACTTCTGTGTGCTGTGCATCATCTCCATAGTTTCTCACCACTTCCTGCACTGTCAAGGTTTAAGTGGATTTATATTTCCTAAAAGAGAGCAGCACTGATGATCTGACACTGTTTTTAAAGAGTCTGGTATTTAACAGCCTATGTGTGAGGATTCTCAGTCATCCAGGTCAAGGTTGAAAAGTTCAGTTTAGGCAACTTTAAAAACACTAGAAAAGAGTCTGAATGAGAAGCATTTAAAGATGGATACATCCTTGGTCTTTTTAAGATGGCAGAAAGCCTGCAAGAGAGATGGAAAAGCTTTACTTCCAGAGGCAGATCTGATAACGGCGACGAACAGCAGCTTGGCATTAAGAAGATATTAGCGCAGGGCTCTGTTAACCTCCAAACTGATGATTCCCGTGTGCATACTTTCCTTTATTTCTTACTCGGTTTTCCTTGTATTTTTAACTTATAACCTGGATACAACCCGCTGGCATGAAATCTAAATACTCTGATCAAATCTGAAGGGTGGGTAAAAATGTCTGAGCAAAGAAAAAGTTTATAGTATTAAACTTAAGTAAAAAAACAAAACAAAAAAAAACCCCTAAATCTCTTCTTTAATGACTTTAAGTAATTAAATTTTAAAACTGGAGGATCTTTATCTCGATTTCAGCAGCCAGACTGCTGTATCTCAAAGCGAGCAAGGTGAACGTGGTCTGTAAGGCGAGCTCTGCTGGTGTGGAAACTTTGAAACCATTAATCAAAGCAGATTTTTTTCCTAAGGAAAGAAGAGTTACGTTTTGTTCACCGAAGTTGCCGGGGGGAAAATAGATGCATCTAAACTTTACTGGATTTAAGGTAGAGATGCACCTTTGTCTGCTTAGGACAATATTAACAAAACTCCTTATGACTAACTTCAGCACCAGTGAGTGTTGGGGTGGACAGAGGACAGTTTCAGCAAGTCTTTTTCTGCAGTATCAACGCCATCTTGATGACGTTGATACTGAGACTTGCTCAGTTGGGTTAAACCAAAATTAACTTCTTCCAGCTTTACTCTGAAAGCTCCTTTAAATATAATGTAAATCACTTAAACAGTCATCAGAACTTTAGATATAGTTTTTCAGTTCATGAAGCTGGAAACTAATTTAATGTCAATCCAGCAAGAAGGAAATTAAGGAAAAAAAAAAAAAAACATGAAATACAACATTGTGAAGGATTAGGAATCCCATTTCTTTGTATCTTTTATTCTCTTCTTCTCTCAGAGATGATGAGGAAGAGTCCTGACAGCTCTTCCTATATTTAACATCTTTATTCTTTGTTTACAGGCTTGGCAGTTTTTAAACTAGATGATTAAATCAGGATTTAAACCTTGGTTCCTTGATATTTCTGTCTTCAACCAAAGCTGATTTGAACTTTCAGACCTTTTTACTGAAGATCTGGGTACAAGTAAATTTAGATTTAAACGTGTCAATAAAGTGTAACTGTAAACTGTTCATACATGTTTATTATAACAGATCAATTAATATAAATCCTATTTTGATACAAATATATCAACAAAAAATAAAAACATTTCTCCTTTTATGTAAATCTTAGCAAAACCAGCCACAAATATACTTTTAGAAAGACAAAGCAGGAAATCAGGGAGGAAAATATTTTTTCTGAAAAAACTTATTCAGTACTTATATTTCAATTTATATTACCAGCATAGCATATTTATGGCTTTTACTAAAAATAAAAGTGTAGCTGCTCTTGTTTTTACATTATTCCACAAATCAGTCCTATCAACACAAACAGCCTTCCATTAAAATTATTTCGGAATTTGATCTGATTCTTTACAATTTTGAGCACTTCAAAACTATAAATGCTTTTTAAATTTTTTATTAAATCATCAACTGGTTCATAAAGTTTCACCATATTTAGGCTTAGACTTGGACCTGAACTGGTTCTTACTAATGAATCTTTTAGTATTTGCAAAATAAAAATGTCCTCTGTGAAGGTTTTCAAAGCATTCCTCCAGACTTCCAAACATGCACATTTTTTTAGTTTACATTATTTATATCTGTAAATAAAATAAGGAAATAAAAACATTATGATAAAGTGACACTAGAAACCAACTCAATAGGCTGAGTGAAGTGAGGAGGAATTTCCCCCACATACCTCATCGGTGCCGCCGCAGTTGGCTTTTCTCTTCCTTCCAGGCTGAGCAGGAATAAGGCGCCGAGCAGTGCCATTCTATCCAAAGAAGGAGAGAAATATAATATATATCCTGCCCATTTAATAAAAAGATCACAGAAATATCAACGGAGGGATTCCTACGGTTGTGAGCGAGGAGAGCTGTTCGTGATCCTCCCTGGCCTTGAAGGTGGGGGTCTCCCTGACGGCAGGAAAAACCGCCGCCTGAGAAGCTTCAGTTGAACTCGGCAGAGAGGGTACTGGGGGGGCGGGGGGCACCTGCGGCACCAAGGGGACGCTCTCGACCTTCCTCTTCTGTAGCAGACAGACACAATTAGACATTTCGCTTTAAACAAAGTAGGAGGCTACAAATTTATACACTGGATTAAACCAGTTAATTCAAAAAATACATTAATCATCCTACATTTGAAACTAAAGGTACACATAGAATACAACAAATACACCTCATAAATCCTTAATGTTTCCTCTATTACATGAAGCCCAATATATTTGCTAAATGACAGAATTTTTTTTTTTTAAAGCTACTTTGTTAAGTTACTTTCTCCAACATTCAGAAACCTCTGATGCTGCTAGGAAGTGTTGGTTTTCGGTCCTTTTCTCCTGACAGAATTTTTCTTCCCTTGGCACACACCTTTTCATCCTTCCTGAAATCTATCACAGAGTTTTCACATCCAAAAAAGAAAAATGTACATAATTTTGTTCTTGCGCCACCGTTTATGGGAGGTTCTCTCAGCATTTCCGAGACCTGCTGTATGATTGGTCTGTGTTTGGATGGGTGATGACATTCCCCTTGGATTTCAGATTGGCATCACCCACCCCAGACTGATTAACATTCATTTATGAAGGTTAGGTTAAAGTAAAATATTAAATACTACTTTATTTAATAGAGTTCAGTGTTACTTTACTGTTTTAATAATTTCTTTCTCCTACAGGTGTAATGTATTACAAAACACGCATAACAGCCGATGGCGTCATCTAGGTGAATAACAACTTTTCCTTGCTCGGGAGGCCGAAAACTATGACCCTCCAGTTGGTGTCCCATGTGAAACCATTTAAAGGAAAAGTCCGCTCATTTAAAGTACTTTAAATATTAAATTATTAAATACTGTTAAATAAAGGATAAGTGTTTTTAATTAAGAGTAATTTCCTTGAATGTGCTTTATCGGAAACATCCATGTTTGTCAAAGAACACTACTGCCGCCTACTGGTTTGTGATGTCATGGTGCGGTATCCACTGTTGGGCAAGTCCCAGTGCTCTATCTGGTGTTTGTCACAACGCGCAATTATCCAGATCATCTTGAAATCTTCAAAATATTGGCTACATCTGACCTGTTTTTTCTCTGGCCAGAAGTTCGATGGCAAATCCTCCCTCTTATTGGCAATAACCCGTCCTTAGAGGATCATGAATCGGAAATGGGAAATAACCGATTCTTTTTCAGTTTTACCCGAACATCCAACTGCCATGCAAGTGGGCATTGTCTGTTTAACTGTAACTTTCACAAATTTCAGTGGTGAAGTCCTCTCGAAATCTTAATGAACTGTTTTTGGTTGCAGATGTGTCTAGTGGTTCACATTGATTTAGCTCGTAAAGCATGGAGAACGGCCCTACGCTTACTGCATCGTGATGTCACTGCTGGAGGATGTCAGGAGTTAGGTGTTACTATATTTGGGCCAAAAATGGCCTGTCCCAGACTCAGTGATTGTGACGAAAATTATTATTATTATTTTTTTTACTTATTAACTTTAAATTCAATAAATTACCCGAAACTTTATTAGTTTTAGGTATAAATAATGATCCATTGATCATTCCTTGCTGACTGAACTTTTCCTTTAACCAACGGCTTTTCATAGAAAACTTTTTCTCTGTTGGATATAAACCATAAATAATAAATATTGCGTTTTCCTCATCAGCAATGTTGGTTAACTCTCAACCAGCGTGGTAAAAAATATCAATACTCTGGGGGCGTTTTTCGGTCTCGCATTGGTTAGTGCACACAACCTATATATGGAGGCCTTAGTGCTCCCTGCGGTCGACCCGTGTTCAAACCCGACCTGTGGTCTTTTGCTGCATGTCTCTCCCCCTGTCATCCTACTTTAAAAGAATAAATAAAAAAATCAATTCTCTGATGGTATTGATACTTAAAGGCTGTATCTGGATACAATACTACTTCAGTATGGTGTCGATAATGATAAGTGTAATTTTTTGTTACTGTTAATATTCGTTTTTTGGTATATTTGCTCCTTAATAGAGTCCCTCAGACAACCTTAAAATATTGTCAAATTAGGTCATATTTGTGCCAGTTATTGTGTATTAATTTGCACACTAACCAGATTATCATCATGCTTCTGTTGAGAAATTAGGATCAATGTTGAAATGCAGAAATTTGTTGCCTTTCTCATAATTTTTCATCCCCAAGGTATTGACAGCAGTATTCAGTATAACATTTTTTCCAGCATAAAAACTTGGGATCATAGGAAGTTACATGGCTCATTAATAGAATAAGTGATTACAGCTGCCTTTTCCATTATGTACTTATAATTTAAGTGATTTTGCCCACTTAAAAACAAAACAAAAACAAATGTTGCTGATGGGATATGCAGTCTGCTATATGTAAGATTCCTACATTGGCCAGAGTGAGGGTCCTGCTCTTGAGAAATGAGAGACACCTTTTAGAGATAACTTTCTGTTCACCTTAAAAGATTCACATTTTGCATCATGAAATGTGTGCTAAAGCTTCTGATACTGTATAAATTATAACTATAGCCCCATTTACACAACCCTCTGAAACCCGACCCATACCGAGCTTGGATCAGTTAACTGTGCAAAGCTTTGTTCCTTATGATCATTAACATATCACGCTAGCACGGTTCCTCTCCTCCTGGTGACAATCTACAGTACTACTGTTTTGTAAAAGGGCAAACCAACATGGTGGCCCTGGTGTTACTAGAAGATTTTTCCTTAAATGTTATCCATTTTTCACATCTGTCGTCATATCTTCAACAGCTGTCCAAATTTGTCTCTTTAAGAGCTTTCTGAATGCTGTTTTGGTTCGATTCCTTAACCTAAATCTTTCTCAATCAGTGCTGAAAGATATCAAACTGTTGTGAGATCTCATTTAGCTCCTCACATCTACCGTATTTTCACGACTATAAGGCGCACTTAAACGTCTTTTTTTTCCCATAAAATGTGCGGTGCGCCCTTTGGTGCGGTGCCTTATGTGTGTTGTAACTGCGACTTTTGAGACCACCTCATTGAGGAGATGATGAAAGAGTGGCTGAATGTAAGGAGACCAGGTGTTTTTTTTCCACTCATCACCATCGCTGTTAATATGTAACTCCATGCATGCCCTTCTCACAGCTGATGTGAAAAACATGGGGAAACAAATTAATGCTGTGCTCGCTGTTCAACCGCTCGACATCGGTGTGAACCGGACCCAGCAGGTGCAGCAGAAGCAGCGAGTTTACATGCAAAGTCAATGGTTGACGCGCGTATAGGTGCAGCAAAAGGTCCCGCAGCGCGTTTTGAGCAGCAGGCGCAGCGCCTCCGGAGCGTTTAAGCATCTGACGCACCGCCAACGCGCTGCTGCTGCTCGAGATGGAAAAATTGAAGTTTTGCTGCTGGACGCGCCGCATCAACCAATCAGAGAAGCTGATCTGGGAGCTGACAGCGAGACAGACACAGCGCTCTGATGACATTAACGCAAATGAAAAAGGCTGGATGGATGAGGAGATGATGAAAGCGTGGCTGAGGCAGGTGTATGTGAGGAGACAAGGTGCTTTTTTCCACGCATCACCATCGCTGCGTGCCCATCTCACAGCCGATGTGAAAAAAAAGGTGAATCAAATGAACGCTGTGCTCGCCGTTATCCCGGGGGTCTGACAAAGGAACTTCAACCACTCGACATCGGTGTGAAGCGGCCGTTCAAAGTAAGGCTGCGAGCGGCGTGGGAGCGATGGATGACTGACGGAGACCACAGTTTCAGGATAAGTGGAAGGCAGCGCCGGGCAAGTTACGCCACCGTTTGCGGATGGATTGTAGATGCTTGGACTAACGTGTCTGCTGGCTCTGTTGTTCAAGCTTTCGCAAAAGCCGGCATTATTTCTGAGGAGCCGCGCTGCACGGAAAGTGACTCTGACAGCGAAGAAGGGGAAATTGGCATGTCTGATTTAGCGCAGCTGTTTAATTCAGAAACAGAGGATGATGACTTTGATGGGTTTGATTAATACTTTGTAATAAATACATGAATAAAGCACAATCATACTCAGTTTTGCTCCCGCTCTATTTTTCTACCTGAAAACTTAATTCAACAGCAGCCTCTGGGCCAGGTCTCCTCCGCGTATACCGCGGTGGCTGGCAGGTGTTTTTTCATCTAAATAATCTAAATCTTGCAGCTATATTTGCTGTGATCAGTGGGAATAAAGTTGTTTTAATATGTTTTTAAGTGAGAAAGGCCACCTGAAAACTTAATTGCAGTCAGTTCATCCAGATTATCTATTTCTGTCGGAGGCGCTCAGACCCCCACATACCAGCGGTGCACCGACAGTAGAAATCCCTTCAACAGCAGCCTCACCGCGGCAGCTGGCAGGTGTTTTTCATCTAAATAATTTAAACTGCAGGCACCAGGATACCGGCAATAAAAGCGAACATATTCCGTGGGCAGCTTTCAGGATTTTAAGTTAATTTAGGAGTAATCACAGCGCTGTGTCATCTGCGATGTGTCTGTCTCATGGCCAGCTCGCAGGTTTGATTAATACTTTGTAATAAATACATGAATAAAGCACAGTCATACTCAGTTTTGGGCCCGCTGTATTTTTAAATACGCAGTAGAGCTATTTAAAGGTAGTAGAGGACATGTACCTGTATATAAAAAACGCGCCCTATAGTCCGGTGCGCCTTATGTGTGTGTTAAATACAGAAATGGCACACATAACTGAGACTGCGCCTTTTAGTACGGTGCGCCTTATGGTCGTGAAAATACGGTAAGTGCTGCAGCCATATATCTGAGAATATGCTCAGTGGCTCCCGATAAAGTTTTTGCTTCGTGTACTTAAAAAAAACAACAAAAAAGCGTTTTGCTGTGAAGAACAGCTGCGCCTTAAACTGTGCATGTTGGATAGCAGAGCTGTTACAAACCGGTGAGTTTCATTGTTCTGGAATCCTAGATTGGTAAATAATTTGGTCGCCACATATTCTTCTTCCTGTTGGATTGTTTATCCATCTGTAGTGGTTTTTGATGCGCTGAATAGAGAACTTTTTTAAAGGACACAGATAATTTATTAAACATATTCATCCAAATCCAACTCTTAAATATACTAATTTTTATTCTTAAACAGATTTGATCGCCATATATGAAACTGCCGTTGAAGAGTAGATAGATCACATGCCAGAATAGTTATATTTTGTTTTTCCCAATACATCCAGCCAGTTCAGGCTGATATGAAATTAAATAAAGATGGATGTGTTCTGGTATCATTATATTTAATATGGCATGGCAAAAACTGTGCCCTATTTCTTCCATATGCTGTGAAGAAATTCCATTGGGTACTGATACACAAATTCAAAACTAAATTATTGGTCTAATGGATTGATAGTTTATGTTGGATTTTATTTTATTTGAGAATGCATAAGCAGTGCGCCATTGCACAGCTTGGAGAGAACATTGGTTACAGCTACAATAATATTATGTTGTGAACCAGGATTCCTACAGCATGAGGCAAGGTAAATTCAAGACTTTTAAAGACTTTTTAATGCCACTTGAAATAAAAATTTAAGACCAAATTCACAACAAACACAAGAAAAACCCGCTTGCGACAACTTAACCCAAAGGTTTATTATAACATAAACCACTGCACTAATGTTTCAAATTTTGAAAAGCTTCCCATACAGGAAGAAAGCTAAAAACACACAAATGACAGATATATTTTAACAATTATTTAACTGAATTCACAAACTTTGTTTTAGCAGGGAACAAAACAAATCAGTTTTAAAGCTACAATATAACTAGTGCTAAGTCTTTTTTGCAGTTATTTTTCTTTGTGTCGTTTTCTTAGTATGTTTGATTTGGTGATAACTGGATGCGTTGCAGAGACAAGGGTGGAACAAAACCGAGAAATACCGACTGCTTCTCGGTAACTCGATTTTGACGCTTTGTGTTTCGTCCTTCGCATGTGCAACTCCACTGCCTTAATTCCCATCGTTCCGAGCTTGAATGACCTCTTGGACAAAATCCACTGTGCCTCATGTATGTTCCCTGGTTTTAGCCATGGAGAAAACTCTTGGCTGAAGCCAGTTTTCGTTACATTTACACTTGCTCATATTTTCCAGACAAAAAGTTAATGGCGCATCTCCTAAATGTCCCTGCCGCAACAACGCTTTTATTGGTTCCGCTATCGGGACGGAACCAATAATGGGGAGCCATTATTTAAAAAAAAAAAAAAAAAAAAGGCCAATTTTAGTGTTTTATTTAGATTTAAAAAAATTTATCATAATAAAAAATAATCCTATTTATGATGTTTTAAAAAAAATAAGACCTACGAAAGACTGATTTAAGACATTTTAATACCAATTAAGGTCTTAGTTTTATTTTGAAGAATTCAATGCCTTTTAAGACTTTTTAAGGACCCGCGGGAACCCTGGTGAACGGTCTCTTAGTTCTGAAAATCATCCGCCCTTTTTAAACGGCGTGTGAAAAAAAGCATGAAAAAAAAAACAGTTCAACTATCTTTTGCAGCAGCGCTGTTCACTGAAATTAAAACCTTAAAACCAGGTCCTGAAGGTTTGCTCCTTCAGGACCCGCCAACCTTTATAGTATGATAAAACCCTGACCATGATTACAGGAATCATTTAAACAACAATGAAGCAAAACAGCTACCCTTAAACCTGAATATGAAAACTAAAAGGGGAAAATTTCTAACATGCATAAATTATTGATGAGCTCCAGATGACAGCCATATTATCTTCACATGTTGCAGGATTGTTCCTTATACCACACACGTACAAACAGAGAGAGAAACATTAACACCAGGGTGAAGAAGATCTCATTAATCGCTAGAATGGGTAAATTTTCACTTGTACCGGTGTGGGGAGGGTTTTGCCTCTGGATGGAGGTGTGGCAGTTTGTAGGTTGAGATCTAGACTCTTCCTCTGAACACAAAGGAAGACAAAAAAGGGCATTAAACTGGCATCCATGTTTACTCTCATCTCTGGACTCAGATTATTAGAGAAAACAACTATTTGTGCATTGAAAATTGTGGTGACAGTTTTTCAAACAGTCCTGCTTTGTTGGTGGACTCTGCAGTAGATTACCTGTTTCTTCTGTAAAGCGGGGTCAGTATCTGTATCTCTCCTCTCACTCACCTCACAGGGGAAAAGCAAACAGATGTTAAGGGCTTACACAGGCTGAAAAACTGCAGACTGAAAACTCATTACAGTACTTTTAAAAGAAACCAAGAAGACAAAAACATAAAAAATGGGGCATGAATTTAGTAATAATCGGTAAAGAGGACTGGCTCAAACATGGAGTGGTCAAATTTGTTGGTGTTCCTTGATTAGTCAATAACTCCGAGTCAAAGAGAGGACCAAGAACTATACGTTAAAAAAAGACTGATTAACCTGAAAATACTTACCAATACTGGGAAAATCTCTAAACAGAAATAAATGTAATGTTTTCAAGCACAAGTAGTGTACGGCAATAAAACAGGAACCGGTGCTCTTATATTAAACCATAACAATTTTTTTTACTAACACAAAAAGCGCTGCACCTATCGATTATTGACGTAATCGATTGATCTGTTGATAATTTTTCACTGTCCTTTTCATACAATTGGAATATAGAAAAAACAAACACCTTATTTTGCGTTTTTTAATCAATTTCAAATGGCAAAACGTAAAAAAAGAATTTATACACATGTAGTTTTTGTATTCATATTAGGGCTGAAACAATCAGATTAATCATGATTAATTGATTATTGACATAATTGTCAACTAATTTAGTAATCCATTAGTCGTTACCAGGAGTATAGAGACTCTATATGCCTTTAGCTGACAGAGCAACCAACTTAGATCAGCAAATATATCAAAATTGTAAAAAAAAAAAATGTAAACATTTTGCATTTAAGATAAAAAGACTTTTCGTCTGTGAATATGTTCTATCCAGAACTACTAAAGTGGAAAAGTTTTTTTCCACCTGGTTGAATTCCATAAAAAATATTTAAGGAACCTTTGGCTATTATTAATCGATTCATCTGAAAAAACACAACACAAAACAAAACAAAATCGACAGATTAATAATTTTACAAAATAATCGTTAGATGCAGCCCTAATCTACAAAGTTAAAAATGTAAGTTTTGGGAGAAAACGCCTTGTGTTCACCTTGTTAAAAGTGACACAAATGAATCCGATGAATTTCAGCTGCAGCACAGACAACCATTTGAATGAGACACAGTCCAAAGTCAAATGTAGTTATTTCTGCACCTGTTAGTCTAAACTGATAATATGAATATTCTGTAAAATACATGGGATAAAACTGCTGTATATTATAGGACACTAAGTATTTTATTTTGTCCATAATCAGACGTAACACCTGTTTGCTTTGCTGCCAATCTCTGTGCTCCCATTTAGTAAATATCAACATAACTTCTTATAAAGAGTGCATAGGAAGGACTAGTAGGTGGAGCTTAAACTGGCAGCAATGAGCAGTTTTCTAAATCATATAATAGAAAATAACCAGGTGAGTGCCAGAACAAATACAACTACTTAGAGCTTTACAGATGAAACTAAATATCCAACGATCAAATTAAAAATAATATTGTCAATTAAAAATATATATCCCCAGTAGGGGTGGAACGGTTCACAAAATCCACGGTTCGGTTCAGTTCACGGTTTCGTGGTCACGGTTTTCGGTTCGGTATATGTTTATTGTTACACCGAAAAATAAAAAAATTTATAAAAATAATAAAAATGACTGAATTTTTTTTTTAATGAAATTAATGAAAAAAATCCCCAAAAATTAATGAATTGTAATTATTTTTAATGATTCGCGGAAACCATGGATCATTCCCGCATGTTTTGCTGCTTTAAATTTAATCATCTCGCGCATGCCCTCTACGATCTCCAAGGAACTCAGAGCGGAGCGGACGGGAGCCACAGTGGAGGCTGTATGCTTTGCTTTTTGCAGGCGGTCTGGAGCGCAGCAGAGCGGAGCGCTGATGGGTATGTGGGATTTTGGGGTTAGCATGACATGTTGGTCATGTTGCTGTTAGCATAAACAAAACGCGTTGCACAATGCTTGCACACTGTTGCACTTTTATCCACAACTTTCTTTCCGCCGTCATCGTAGGTCACTCTAAATGCAAAGCGCTCCCATACAGCAGACCTATAAAGTGCTGCTGGCGCGTCTTCCAACTCTTGTTCTTTCCCACTCGCCATGCCCACACAATTCTCCACAACAACTGATTTTTTCCCCCTGCTACACCTGGCTACGCCGCATCGCTTCTTTTTCTTCTTGTTTACTACTGGTAGTTGGCTTTGGTCGCAGTACCGCCACCTTCTGCTCTGGAGTATAACGCTTCGCCTATGAGAAAATGGAGCAGCACATGAATCGAACGCAACACACGCGAACCGAACCGAGACAGTCGAACCGAACAGTTCGGACGGTTTTCAAAAACCGTTCCATCCCTAATCCCCAGTCAGCCAACAACAGGATTAATCCTTATTAATTTAATCATTTTAAATTCATATCCTCAAATTCAATTTAAAGAGCAGTTATGAAATGGAATAATATATATCAAGTTGAAACTCCACATAGCTAGGTTCTGCTAACAGAGTCCAGCTCCTATTAGTCACATTACTAGAGGTGCAACGGATAAAAAAAAACCTCTCAGTTCGGACCCTTTCTTTGGACCGTGATTGCAACGGGGGATGCTCTGGATAGTTCATCCCCAACTTTTTTCCTTCTCCTGCTGATAAAAACCTGGCACAACCTTTTCGCTTAAGCCTGTGCGCAACGGGATTTTATAATGTGGCTCAAGCACTTTCACCGTGTGTTTAAAGCCCTCATTATGCACAACTGAATATGGGCCCATGTTCGCACTGTGGACACATCAATACTGTTTGCAATGGCTTTAGCTTGGTCGGATTGTGCAGCAAGGAGCTGCTAAAATGCCACAGTGATAAGCGGTTGTTGAGCGGGCTTTGTTTTCACTCCTGTCAGTGGCTTTCTTGAGCCACAGTGCCTACACACCATCACGGTTTTATTACTAACCTTTCCTTCATCATTAAATTTAAGGGGGAAGCCAAAATGTTCCCATACCGAGGCTTTAAATGACACGGGGCATTCAAGCTCCTCAGTTCCTCCAATCGCCATGACCACGCTGTATGTTAACGGAACATGAGCACAAAATTTCTTTCCTTTCTATGTAAATCAATCCCCAGATCCTGTGTGGGTCGAACCGAAAATATTGATCCCAATGGATCATGGCTCAATGACAATCCGTTGCACCACTAGTCCTCACTGTCAAACCTCAATGTTACTGCAGCAAGTTTACTTTAGAAATAAATGTTTTTATAAAAGAATCGTAAAATATATCAAAATCACTTATAAGAAAAAAAATTGGCTGAATTTACAGAATTGGCTTCCATTTGGATTTATTTACATTTATTGTTAGAATAAACAGAATTTTTTTTATTTGGATAATGAAAACGCAGTATTTTGCTCATTAGTTGTAAAAAATATCTGAGGTGAAAATGAATCACAGAAAAACAGCGTTTGATTTCAGAAATCACTTGATCACACTTACTTACAAAACAGAAAAAAAAAGGTTTTAAAAGTTTAAGAGTTGAAAAAATATATTGAAATACACAAACTAGGAAAAATGAGCGGTTTGGTAGACTTACCACCTCTCTCTCTGGTGAACTGGGTCGGGAGCCTGACAGACCGTTCTTTGTTGGTGTTTTAGCTTCTTTCTTAGGAAACTGGAGCTTCTTCATGTCCAGCCGGTCCGTTGTGACCCACTCATCCAGGCGCTTATTGACTGAAATAGAGTAAATTTTAACCAGAAAAGAAACAATCAGTATAATATGTAGAAATACATTTATTTATACATATAAAAAGACATCTGTTCCCCAGCATAAAATTAGAGAGGACCCAAAACAACTGCTATGTTTTAGTGGAAAGATTTACCCACAATTCTTAACATTTACAGTAACATAAATCAGCAGTTTGAAACAGTAGGTGAAAAAAAAAGAAAAAAGTGTTTTTACTCACAGTCGATGTAGTGAACATAGTATAGCGTTCTTCCAGAAACTTCTTTCACACTTAGAATCTCAGCCAATGCTGGAAGAAAAAGCAGAACATTTGAAACTAAACATCAACTAACAGTTTTTTTTTGTTGCATAATGACTGACACTATGATGACATGTTTACAAAAACAAAACAATCATGTTTCTCAAATTAAACCATTTCATCTGAAAGACCTTTGAAATAACTTTAAATAGCTCATCACCAAAGATCAGAGAAGCTGCAAGAGAAAAAAGTTTCCTCAGGAAGAGTTTCCTTTGGGTTATTAAAATGCTATAAATAAATTAAAGTATACAAATAATTGAATAAAGACACATGTCCTATCCAAGCTGTACTAATAATTTAAGTATAACTGTCATAGAAATATTTTGTTAGTTGACTCAGTCAGCTCTTTGTGTTACTGGGCATATTTTCTCAAAACATTTTAGTATCATACATATGATACACTACACTTCACACCTATAGAAACAAAATTCCTTTAATGATTTTAAATCAAAATTTGCCAGGGTTATTTTTGGCTTGGTATTTTCTTTGGGATTTGTTATAAAATGCCATACAATTCTATTTGGGAGTTTTCTACTTTCACCAACAACAAAAAAAACATTATTCTTATTTTTACAAAGTTGATATAATTCTAAAATCAAGACCAAAGATTTTTCAATTTTTGCTGGACTCCAGTCATTAATGAAAAAAAAAAAACATTGCTAAAGACTATTTGCCTTCTGTAAACTAAACATGGTTTTCTTGAACCTAAACTACTACAGCTAGGCTTTTAATAATTTGTAAAAAAAAAAAAAAAAAAAAAAAAAAAAAAAAAAAAAAAAAAAAAAGAAACTTATTTTTAATTAGGGATGCACGATATTGGGATTTTGGCCGATATCCGATATGCCGATATTTTAAAACTCATGTAGCCGATAACCGATATCGATACCGATGTTAAAGCTGGACAAATACAAGTAGTCATTGAAAATAGCAGTTTTGTTATCCATTTCTGACACTTTGAAAAATAATATACTCAAATATATTTTCATATGCTGATATCAAATAGATTTTTAAAAACGCGGTATCGATCGATTTTACTTTCAAAATCTCGTGAAATTTCATCGTTCTGTTACAAACTCTCGTGATATTTTGCAAATTCTTGTGAGATTTTGTTAGTAAAATAGATTGATACCGCGTCAATATATCAACATATAAAAATATGGCAAAATTTCGTGAATTTTCGGGGGATTTCGTAGCATAACGATGACATATAGCAATATTTCATTAGTAAAAGAGATTGATATGGTGTTTTTAAATGGCAATATATCAGCATATGAAGATATTGTGATATTTCAATGTATCAATATTTTTTCCCTTGTCTTTTTAAGTTTTTAAGTTTCTTTTTAAGTTTTTTTTTTTTTTTTTTACACATTATTAAAAGTTTTTAAGTCTGTAAAAAAGAAGTTTTTGAGGAAGAAGAAGAAGTAGTATTTTTTTTTTTTTTTCATATAGACTTTAGAAACTCAGAACCTGATTAAATATCGGGTTAAATATCGGTGGGGTGGCCGATGTCCGAGATTCAGTTTTAAGGCCGATACCGATAGGGGGCCGATTATATCGTGCATCCCTATTTTTAATCTTATTATCTTATTAATCTTATCTTAAGCATCTTCAAAGTTTAAATATTCATATATATTGTATATATGTGCAATGTTTCTTGCTTTTTTAATAATCCATATTTTAAACCTTTATTTGTGTTCTCTTTCTGAGATTTTATGAATAAAATCAATGTAAAGAACCTTTAAAGGAAAATTCCGGTTTTTAACACTTTTAGCCCCTTTTCTGTAGTGTCCAGGATGAAATCGAATGATCGACACCAAAATTTTGACGATTGGTCCTGTCTCGGCTATTTGGCTCATGCAGAATCCCCCCCTGGCTGCTTCAGAATGGCTTGCATAGTGCATGTCAGATAATGTCCTTAAAACAACCTTAAACATTCTTTTTTTAAAATATGCTACTCACCGAGTCGTCAACGCTGTTCAATGACGTTCAAAAACAAGTTTCGTAAAGAAAAAATTTTCCTGTAGTGTTTTATTTAGCATTTTGTAAATCCCATTGAGTTCTGTTGGAATAGTCAATATCCCTCCGCCACCGGAAACGGAAAGGGGGGCTGTTTACGCTTAGTTGTAGTCTTTTCGCAAGGCCCAAGTGTTTCTGCTTCACTCTGTGTACTCCGACGTCGAGGTGCTAACGTCTCTGTTAAACACTTTTAAAAAACTCTGAAAATGGAATACACAGTGGTCCTACATTCCCAAAGTATAGAGACATTGTCGCCAACTAGTGGTCTGGAGTGTGCAACGCTTCAGATTCGAACGGGAAGCGGAAGTTTATAAGCGGTTGTGATGTATCGGAAAAAATAGTTCTGGGATTTACAAAATGCTAAATAAAACAAGACAGGAACGGTTTTTCTTCACGAAACTTTTTTTGGAACGTCATTGAAAAGCGCTGACGACACGGTGAGTAGCATAAAAAGAATGTTTAAGGTTGTTTTAAGGACATTATCTGACATGCACTATGCAAGCCATTCTGAAGCAGCCAGGGGGGATTCTACATGAGCCAAATAGCCGAGACAGGACCAATCGTCAAAATTTTGGTGTCGATCATTCGATTTCATCCTGGACACTACAGAAAAGGGGCTAAAAGTGTTAAAAACCGGAATTTTCCTTTAACATACAATAGTATTGGAAATTCTAAATCCTAAATATACAATACCAAATAAAAACTTTGAGCAAGGGGCAAAAAAGTAGTAGAAAAGATTATCGGGTCAACTAACAGGATACTTATGATATATTAATGCTTCAAAAATTCCAAAACAATTGTCCCTGTGTGTTCCGCTCTACAAGAGTTTGCATAAACAGTGGAACTCAAAACCTTTGGCCATCAAAATTTACTGCCACAACCCGCTAAATTCACACTATTTCATCATTTAACAGTAATACAATCATTGGATCATACCAATGATCCAATGCATATATTACTATTACTATTGTAATATTCTATCCCATGAACTACTATAACCCAAACAATAAATCAAAACAAATGGTTAACATCGAACACCACATTTATTTTATCACCTAAGAAATAATGAGGATAATGTCCCATCAAATGTAATTGTTTTCATCTTCAGAATTCAACACTTTAATATAAAATAACTGATCTATTAAACTGGGTATCATTTTCATCAAGACAGTAGCAGACTGATTAGATGTATGGTATGTTTTTTTTTTTTTTTTTATAAAGTGTGTGTAAAAGAATAAAATAATAAATAAAATCCTGTCACATAGCAAAGAATGAATGTCTAGCTTGGTTCTTCAAACAGGGGCCGTGTGTTGTTTGTGTCCGTTAACAACAACTGAGACTGTGTGCTTAGCTTTAGCTTCTGAAAACACTTACGCCATTCGTCTTCGTGTTCTTGGTTTTTACGAAGTACCGGGAGGCGGCAGCCCTCTACAATCTCCACCTGAACACAACAGCATATTATTCAACGTGCCAATAACGGTTAACGTCGCAGAACAGCATTGTTTATGAGAGAACCTACCGAAGACGAGTTGTCCGCCATTTTCGTCATCTGTGAGTGTCGGGAGCAGGGTGTTGTGGGAAAATGCCGGTCTACGCCCGAAGATGAAATACGCGACAAGATGATTCTTGGACTATAAAACGGAAATAGTAATGTCTTAGAGCGGAAGTAGATCTATCTCTGAACCAAAGAGTACAAAAGAAAAAAGAGAGAAAATACCTCGTCTTTCATAAAAAAACTAAAAACACCTAGGAAAATATAACTATAAAAGATTTTATAAAAAAAAAAAAAAAATATATATATATATATATATATACGCTACGATCTGTACTTGACTTAGTTCGAATAGTTTTTCGGATACTTTTCAATTTTTACTTTACAATTTAACACAAATATCTTTACTTTATTTTCTTAATTTCACCAAAGTACCCCCTTAACTACATGATTGTTTATTTATTTTATTTAGATTAGTTTTTGAAAGTAATTTTTTAAATAAATTGAGGTAAACATGTAACTGTAATTTTGTACTCAGTCACAACGTAGACTATCTTTAATTTTTTTTAATCAGTCTTATTTTTAGACCATTACCTGTACTTTTATTTTAGAACTAGTTTGTTTCTTTAAAAAAATTTTTATAAAACACAATTCATAGCCTATGTACATACGTACCAAATTAGGCTGTTTATAAATCCATTAATACAATTAATACAGGTAATTAAAACAGTTGTCATGTGCATGTGCGGATCACATGTGAGTTTTTGAATTATGTGACTCTTCTAACTCCATACAGGGTTGTCATACTCATTTTTATGTCAGGCTACTGTGACATTATCAAGTCTGGAAAAATGGATGGTTGCAGCTCTAAATTAAACTTTTGATTTAATCATTTCATTTAAAAGAAGACACCGCTCTGGTTTCATAACTTTACTTAGACTTAGACAACTGTTATTGCAATTTTGTGTACACCGAGTGGATTTTTAGCCACTGTGAACACTTAAAAGAAGCCTTTTTAAGCTCTTGAGGGTCACATGAACTGCAGGCTGGATTCAGTCCATAGGCCTTGAGTTTTCAAATGTGTTCTAGACCAGGGGTGCCCAATTCCAGTCCTCAAGAGCCACTATCCTGCAGCTTTTTGATGCACCCCATTTTTAACACAACTGAATCAAATGAGTGGCTCATTACTATGCCTCTGCTCGGCTAAATGAGGGGGTTAAGCCTGTAGATTCAGGTGTGTTGGAGAAGAGATGCATCTTAAAGTTACAGGATGGTATCTCTTGAGGACTGGACTTGAGAACTCTTGCTTTAGACTAGGGGTCACCAACGTGATGCCCGCGGGCCTCAAAGAGCCCTCAGGGACCACACGGGATGCCCTCAGCATCTTCTAAAAAAAGAACAACTCATCAGTGGGCAGAGTTTGAAATGTATTTTATTCTGTTGCTCTTCGTTTTAATTATTAGAACATTTCAAAATGACAACGTCTAAAATAAAATGAGAAAATAAAAGAAAAAATTAAGGTTAGGTGAACGCTGACCCTTGCAGTTCTGGGGTCAGTATTGGTAGCCCTTCCTATGACTCAGTATCCTTGAAGTGGCCCTCATCCTTAAAAAGGTTGGTGACCCCTGTTCTAGACCAATGCATCACCATTGGTTTTTACTGTATGCACAAAGTTTACACATCTAAAAAAGATTTTTCTTTTGCAAAGTAATTCGAGCTCATGCAGATTGGATGGAGCACATATGTGAACAGCAGTCTTCCAGTCTTTCCAGTCTTTGCTTTAGGCTTGACTAGTTCCTCCTAACTAACCAATATGCTTTGATTTATAAAGTTTCACTGAATCTGTTCTGAGTCAATTCTCTGCTAGAAAAAAACTCTGCTCAGCCTTTTTTATTTCCAAGGATTTTCCTAAATACTCTTCCCCTCAACTATGATCAGCTTTCCTTTCTCTCCTGAAGAGCAGTATTCCCATATCACCACACAATATTTAAGGTGACAATAGGTGCTAGATTCTAACCACATATGACTTTTATCGAAAAAATATGATTTAATTTTGATCTTACCTGACAAAAGCTCCTTCTTCCATATAGTATGAACTGTTTATTTTTGGAGTCAAATTTACCTTTCATAGTTAAATGTAGTCTTTTATAACTTAGATCTGCTATGCTGTGTATTCAATTTTAACCCTGAGATGTCTGCTATGTTCCTTGGTTTTCATAACTTTTTTTTTTGTTCATTAATGTTCTCTAACAAACCTCTGAGGCCTTCACACTGCATTTATACCGAGATTAAATTACATGAAGGCTGATCACAATAAGGTGATTTCTGAAGCCAATTGAGATTAAGGGTATGAGAGTAAAGGGGACTGAATACAAAAAACGAAGCTTCTCAGATGTTTAGTTGTTGACAGTCTTAAAACAATATATCAAGTGTTAATTTCTAAATTATCAGCTTGTTTTGTGTTGTTTATTCTATGTTTTATGGGTGTTTGCTACAGAAGCTTAGTTTATACTAGAAAAACTGTTTACTAATGGAATGTGACGTTTTGCTTTATTAGACAGTAATTTTATTGGACTATTTTCTAATTTTGACATTTTGACATTGTCCTTAAAAATATACTTTGATCGTTTCAGTGCTTAAAAAAACTAGGCCAGTGAGGAGCTGCAGGGCTTATATCAAGGAGAATTTATTCCAGAATGCATGGCCATCTATTATGGAAGGAAGCATCTGTGTGATAAGATGTGAGAACTTGCAGAGCTACCTATTTGTCTAAAATAAATGAATAGATAAATGAATAAAATTAAACTATAAGTGTGAAACCAATTACAGTCTTTGTGTAAAATCTGAGGATGTTTTACAAAACCTGCTCTGAATGTGAAGCTAAAGAAACAAAAGCACAATTACATTTGTTCCATTGTTGTTTCAAGCAAAGAACATGTTTTGTAAACGGAAATTTGAAATTAACTTTGCTGTTTTCTTTCTGTCTTTCAATGTTATATTTTCTAATGTAATTATTTAAAATTTCTCTTTTACAGATTCAGTTTTTACCATTTGAGTTCTTTTCAAATTGTGTTCACATTTTCTTCACTTGAAGCCCAAAGAAAACAGTCCCAAGCGGACCAAGAGGAATGTATCTCTGCCCCTCACTCCGAAGGAAGCCCCACCAAGTGAGGAGATATGATCTGTAAAAAACAACTTGAAAAAAAAAAGCAATTTGAAAAAATCTATCTAAAAAAAAAAAAGAAAAAATTGAAATAATGACATATGGAAAAGGTTTAAAAAAAAAAATCTGAGAAAACTGCAAAGTGACTATTGAAGCAATTTTTGGATTAGGAACTTTTACAAAGTTTAATTTCTGGAAAACTTTTTACTTTCATTTAAATTTAAAAACATGCTGCAAAAAAATAGAACAAGTTCACACCATACATACACAATTAAAGAAACAGCTAATAAACAATATTAAAGTTTCCCTGAGTGCAGAGAAAACAATATTTTCTATAAGCAAAGACAACAATGAATATGACTAAATGAGTTCCCTTCCCTGAATAAGCTCATTACATGCATTTGTGGAAGCTCTCGAGTTTCTCTCATTACACCAGATTTTTCAAGCCTGCAATTAATGATCTCATATATACTTACACAATGAAGCTATTCTGCAGCTTAACAAGCACCACTCTATTTTTCCCTTTCAAAGGCCTCCAGTGCGAATATATGAAAGGTCGCCTTGAAAAGTCAAGTCGAACAATCATTTGTTGTTAGTGGCTTTCAGTGTAGGATATTGTAAGGAACCACTTTTGATGTAAATCATCTAAAACAGCAAGGGCAAAGGTTATAAATTATCTTTATTATAATCCTTGGAACAGCATTCAGTATACAGAACTTGCGATTGTTGACAAAAGATTAAATTAAGTTGTAGATGATATTCTTCATTAGAGCAAAAACAAAAGAGAAATGTTCAAAGAGCAATGCATGAAAATAAGCCTCAGTAGGACCCTTTGCCTTGTCAAGCATTTTGTAGAAGTAGCCTGAATATTTTACTTAGCATGCATGAACGAGTGCATTTAATTGTGGCATCATAATAAAAATGTCAAAAGATGCTGAACTGGGTCTCAATCTTAAAGAAGAGAAACAACAGACCTAAAGGAATTATGGTTTGCTGCATTACCTGCATAATTGAAGCCTGGGTTTGGTAAATAAAAAAAAAAATTAGCATCTGCTTCGCCCAAACCACACTTAGTAAGGACTTTTGTCAAGCAACCTGCCATGTAGAGCTTATTGCAAATGCCAAACGTTTGCACCAACAGGATAATTATTCCCCCTTTGAAATCACAAAGGGGGAATGTTTTAAAATATTTAAATGTTAACTAATTATGGATGGCTTTATAAAGAGCCTTTTATCAAATTGAAAAATATTTTGAAGACATGGTCAGGTATCCTGGCAGGGTGTGTTTATAAGCCCCATCGGCCTTATTTCAAGCAACTTTTGACAAAGACGTAACAATATATTAATGAGGAGAACAAAACAGAACAAACAAGAAAATGCAACATGCTTGTGATGGAATTGTCACAGTTCCCTTTTCTTCAAGTTCAAAATACCTTTGGATGATTATTGCACATAATAAAACCAACAGGAAGATAAGACTTCTAAAGTGACTAAAGTAACAGCAGGGGGAGGTATTAATCTAAGAACATCACAATGTTAACTATTGCTGTCATGATAGAAACAAACATGCTGCTGTATCTTTCTCCCTCTATGTGTCTCCTATTTCATTCAGCTACCTCCCTGTTAATGCTGACAGTCTCAGCTACATATTGATTGAAGGGATGTCCTGATCTAGTTTCAAATATTGGTTTTCCTGTTCCTGTTCTTTTTTTTTTTTTTTTTTTGCTACAGCCCTGGCTGAGCTTGACTCCTGATACCTCATAATGCTGTAGTTAGGTATTTTATGTAAGCTGCACCTTTAAGAAGCAACTTTTACATTTGCACAACTTGCTTAACCTTTTTAATTACTTTTTCAAAGCAAAATCATAAGTTTAAGATGCAGGGGAAACCTAAAAACATATTGTGAATGGAATTGATCAACGAGTTCTATCAAAACAAACAGTTACTTTGGATTTGGCCTATCGTTTAG